ACCCACGCTGGAGCAGTTCGTGAAGGACCATTTCCCATGGGAGGGACTCTATGCTGGAGCAGGGGATTGATGAGAGGAGTCCTCCCCCTGAGGATGAAGAAGCGGCAGAAACACCGTGTGATGAACTGACCGTAACCCCCACTCCCCGTCTCCCTGTGCCGCTGAGGGGGGCGGAGGTTGAAGCTGGGAGTGAAGTTGAGCCCAGGTGTTTTAAGATTTGATTTTGTTTCTCATTCCTCTACTCTGTTTTCCTTGGTAATAAATTAAATGAATTTCTCTCTCTCAGTTCAGTTTGTTTTGCTCGTGACGATAATTAGTGAGTGATGTCTCCTTGTCCTTATCTCGACCCACAAGCTTTTCATTGTACTTTTTCTCCCGTCTAGTGAACGAGGGGCAGTGATAGAGCTGCTCTGGTGGGCACCTGGCCCCCAGCCGGGGTCAACCCACCACAAAAAGGAAAACTGAAAATTGTCACTGTTTTTCACCATCAAAGCCTTTCACAGCAACATGCTACATAAGCACTGTATTAACTGGACTGGAATTAAGTATTTTATGCAGTATCAGCACAGTGTATGTGCCATGCAGATATATTATCATATGGATAATCTCTAGTTTTAGGGTCTGATCCCACAAACACTTAGGACTGTGCACATCTGTGAATATTCTGTGGTTTTCAATGGGATTACTAGTACACATAAAGATAAGAAATTGTATCTATCGCCAAGATTTGTATTAAGTATCTGTGAGTTTTGCAAAAAACTGTGACTATGGCATCTGTGAGTATGGCAAAAAACCTCTTTATATTACTGAGGGAAGAGTGGATTAGTTCAAGGTCCCGATTGATATGAATCTGTGTACAGGGAAATAATTTTCAATATGATGAAAAGCATCTGCTGGCATAAGAGTGACAGACCCACTGAAGGATGACTGCCGCTGGTGAATAACTGCCTCATGTTGCTCAGAGAGGCTGCCAGGGAGATTTTATGTGACTAACTCTGAAGAACTTTAAACAATCAGTTTTTCAAAGAGGAAAGTTAAATTGCAAAAGAAATCTGACACAGATGTACCATCGTTACTGGGACTTCCACTATAAAGTGAAAGGCACAGAGAATCACAAGAAAGCTGAGAAAATGCCCAGTGAAGCACTCAACCATCAGACATTAAAAAATGTTAACTCCTGTATGAAAAAGGCCCAAGGCTGAGACAATGGGCTGTTTAGTTCAGGGCTGAAGTGCCACAATCAATCAGTGCAGGCAGCTCACAGAACCATCAGTCTGACTAGTCAGTCTCTCATTTTCATCAGCAGTGAATTTGCTCAAACCTCAAAAACAACACTAGGAAGAAGAGTATCTTCTAGATTACCCAGTTTACTGGAAAATAATAAGCAGAATATTCTTAACCTCCTGTTTTCTAGCCTCCAAGACACAGTGACACTACCATAGAGAGGAAAAAAAAACAACCCAAACTTCACTTTAAGAATCAAATGCCTGCTATCAAACCACATTTTTTTACAGAAAAAACATGTTAATGTATAATAATGTGCAGAGCTGCTAAGGCAAAATGTTTTGCTAAAGTAAACGTGTAAAGCATGCTAAAAGGTGATTATTTTCTTAGTAATTATTTCAGCTTTACAATGTTTTATAGTCTCTTATTACTCTCTTACTCAGTTATGGAGGATTGATGAAAACAAGGTGCTAGGATAATACTCCTAAAAGTCAGACTATACCTAGGCTTGAAATAAATCTTACCATCTGACAAGCAATGGACATTTCTCAGCTCTGAACCTAGTGCGATAAAACCGTGTTTGTATAGAAAACATATTGGCTCCCAAAGGGAGCTGGAAATACTTTGCTGGAGAAATGTAAAAATGTTTTCAGGACTCACGCACATCTGAAGTACAAACTGTGGACTAGTCAACACAACACTTAAAAATAAAAAGGCATTCCCCATCAAAAGAATAACATTAAAATAAAATTTTAGGAGAGAAAAATTGGCAAGTTACATTATCTATTATGTGCTCAGAATATTCTCTTTCTTTCCTTTCTAAGTCTTCTAGAGTCTGGTACTCGGAATTATGGGCTCCTGACATCTCAGTATTCTGGAGTCTAGAGTCAAGTTGTTTCTGTAATTCTTCAAAATCCTGGAAAAAAAAGCAAGTGATTTGTAAAGAGAAAAACAGACATAATTTCTAAATTCAGGAGTGAATTTGTATGTGGCTCGTGGCTAAGGAAGCTGAACAACAGTGTTCAGAAAGTTCTGTCTCTGGGTAATGCACCTCCTGCAGCAAGCAAAGAAAACTGAAGGTATATATGGCAGCTCTCAACTACACTCACTACAAATACAAACATTTCCACTAGTATGTCAGGACAATCAAGACTGTTGTCCACCTCCACTAAATTCAAGTTTTAGTAAACGGTGCTCCATGAGCTTTCATACTAATAATCCTTTGAATCTATCCACTAATATTTTTATTTTAATGCATGTGCATCTTAAATGGCAGCTATGAGTGTATACATTGTGTTTGAAAACACAGAGAGTATCCAGACATGATAATCAGACAGTATTTCCTGCAGAGCACTAGCACACCCAGATGAATACACCTGTAATGCTCATAAGGGACAAATTACAGGCTCCATGGTTATATGGGGTTTTACATTTTTTTCAGTCCTTTGAAACCAGGATGATTTTTTCTGAAAGCTAATGATACTGACAAATACATCTTCTGTCTTTACTTAGTAGCTTGGTACTGAAATAGATGATGCTTCAGTTGCTGAAACATGCCTTACATAACAAGTATTTACTTTTAATATCACACAATTTTGGGTGTCAATGCATTAACTTGATACCCTGTGTCTTAAAGAAATGTAACCAGATTTTGACAAGCTTCACAAACAATTTCATCAAAATCCCCTAATTTTTTCTTACAATGCAGAATTAAAAGAGGAAAATGCTGTTTGTGATAAATCATATAATCCTCAGTCTTGCCAATGCTGTATTACATACAGTAGTTTGCAGTCCTAATGCTTTTGCTTATTACCAATGCCTCTTTTACATGGTATCCATAATCAGCCTCATCCCTTATGTGACATCCCAACCCAAAGGCTGTCACGTTTCCAAGACATTTCTCTCCAAAATATAGGATTTAGGAATCCCATACTGACACTTAAACAACTGGCCTACTCCAGCAATTACTGCATCTAATAAACAAGATTTAGTCTTTGTCTTGCAGCAGCTCAGCTAGGCGCATGAAGACACCAATGCCGTCAAGCCTCGTTGAGGGTTAGGCTATACTGGGAAACACCCCTAATCTGTATTACCTCTGGGTTTATAATTTGAAGTCATTACCAGAAGTCCACCAGCAAAAGGGATTTACACACCAAATCTCACTTTTCATTTAGAAAATACAATCAACTTTAATACTAAACCTGAGGATTTAAGGCAGTTTTAAGGTAAAATCCATTCTGAAATAAATTATTAGGTACAATTACAGAGATTTCTGATATTCATTCACAAATTGTGAGACTGCACAAACAAAATAAATCTCAACAACTAGAGTTTGCAAGCCAAGAGACTTTAATGCCTAAATATGAAATTCCATCTGTACGTAAGAAAAAAAAAATTCATTACTGTGAGAAGAATTAAATACTATACTAGGCTGCCCAGAGAAATGGGGGAGTCTCCTCCAGTGCACAAATTCAAGACTTGGCTTGGCAGGGCACTGGATAGTCTTGTTATTTCCTCCTTCCTACAGAAGGTTGGACCAGACGATGGCTCTCAACCCAGACTTTTCAATGACTCTAATTTGGAAAATGAAAAGTGGAACCAGTAGCAGTCCTATTTTGTTCAGTTTTGTAAAGCTTTTTTTTTTCCTTCTAATAATCTTAAAAATAGCATCGTGACTCACCTGGAATGTATATTGACTGTCAATGTATGTCATCTAGTTCAGAAGTGGAAAATGGATTTTGACACAAGTATATGGAAGAAAGAAGGATAAAGAGGGAAATAAGTATATTTCCCCTTGATAAAAAAAGCCTTGAGTATCCTTCTGGTACTTTATTTCCTGCTACTTTATTATCAGTAATGACACATGGGACCAGACAAAGACCTGATAATTAGAAATTTTTTAGTCTGAGTGAGTAAGGTTCACAACGTTCTGTTTGCTTGAATGGATTCAACTACAAAATACTTTTATTCTTAACAGACTGGACACATCACTGTCCTGATCACCTCATACAACAACAAAGAGAAAATGCATACAAGGTAATGGAGAGAATCAACTAACAAGGGAGTTTCTTTGCATTTCTTCTGAATGAGATTACAAATTACATTGCTGTTTAAAAGGAGTAGGTGAGATAGCCTGCTGTGGCAGCTTGCACCAACAGGTGGGATTAACTCTTATTTTCTGTGGTCTTAAATATTAATCAACAAAAACACTTACATTTTCCTGAATTAAAAGGATCTTCTTGAACAAATCATCGGTAATCTTCTTTTTATGATAAAAGTCTGTGAGGTATATTTTGAGAACCTGAATAAACATCTATTTAAAAGGAAGGAAACAAAACCCAGGGTAAGTGCCTGTTCAACATCGTAAGGATCTTTGTGATAACTTTTGTTGATTTAAATCAATAAGACTATAGTGAATCATAAGCAAAATAACAGAAACATCATCAGCAACTCTGCAGTACTTCCATTGTGAAAAATTCTTTGGCTTTGGTTTCAGTAAGGTACTAGAAGATGGTGTTATGTTCTAACAAGGACAAGGATATAATCTTATCTATCCTTGTAACCAGACTGACACATTTGAAACTGCCCTTTAATGGAGAAAATGCAGATCAGTTAAAAATGGAAAGCCCATTTTTCTAAAGTTTAATGAATCCCTAAACTGAAAGATTCATTACTATGATTTCAACTGCAGTTGGCCAAATAAAGTATCAAACATTTTTATATACAATACAAAAGTAACCCTCTTAAGTTCTAGGTACCTTCTCTTACAAAAAATACACCTATTTTCCAGTTGTGTGCTTTATTTTCCTTTTTCTTCTTTTTTTTTAAAAGATTGTAATACTCGTGTCATCAAAAAGATGTTTTTGAACACTGGGATAAGTTTTGCTTAACCTCTTCTCCTCTCACCTCGATTAGAGTGTAAGACAATTCACTTTATTACTAACTGCTGCAGCATTTTCCAACATGAAGACGAAAATATGTGAAATTCAACAGCCACCTGCCTGTTACTCATGTACTTGAAAACAGATGATGCAGAAGTTGCCCACTTTAAACATGTAAAAACATAAACACCACCATATTTACATATGCAAACAGTTATTGAAGCCAACATTTAATCTGAGCAAAATCTGGAAAGTTTGTTGAGGAGCTGATTAAAGTTGAGTAGAAGAGAAAATGGTAAAGCAGTCCTGTTTTGGATCTCACTTGCCAAAGTTTTGGATAGGAGTTTAGCAAGTTTTGAACACACAACACCAAGATACCACACACTGTAAAAAGGGAGAAAAAAATAATTCAGGAAAACACTGAAGGATGAGTATATGTTCCTTTTTCCTAGACTTGACGCTACAAAAGACTGACTCTGAGATCAGAGAAAGCAGAGTGGAAAAGGAAAAAGGTATTCTCTAAACTGATTTTTTTTCCCTGCTAGTGAAAACACACAGCTATTCAAAGCTTCAGCTAAAGGTCAAAGTCATCTGCCTTTTGTGGCAATTTCTGGTGGGCCACCGAGTAGGTTAAATGCTCATTTTCTCAGTGTTTCTGTGATTACATCACCATGTTGTTAACTTATCTGCATTTACAAATGGATGATTAACTTTGAGATCAAGTTCAACCTTCTCTAGTCAAAGCTAAATTTCGTTCTGAAATCTGATCTCAAGTTCCCTTCCTCATCTACTTAGATGGGAATAAATCCCATCAGAAGAGAAGCTGCTTTCCAGGTTTATTTCCATGCTTCCTCTGTTGGATTGTGTAGAAATTTGTTCAGAAAATCCCAGAACAGAAATGTTCTCACTGCATTTAACAAATTGTATCAGAAATGACCAATC